CCTTAAATACATTTATAAATACTTTTAAATACAATTATTTTTTAAATTTTCTGATTATACATATAATATAATATATTGTTAGAGTGAGAAAAGTTTATCTCGTTCAATCGGATGCTTTCTATGTTTAACCAATAGCAAGTAAGCAGCAAGCATTGTTCCCTTCTATATGATTTATGTTTTCAGTTTTTCCTTAGTTGTTCCGTTGTTTTTCAGTTTTTAGCTTCCCGCGTTCTTGCTGACGCACGTTCATTGAAATAAAGATTTTTTTATATATAACCATTCCTGCGTGTTATTTTACTTGTCCTAACATATATGTTACACAATATACACCTTCTCTTTCTCGGCCATAGAGCCAAACAGGATGTTAATGCAAAACTTAAGCAAGAAAATTAAGAAATCTGGAAATTTGTATCCTATGGTTGGGATCTCAAAAATTCCCCTTGTTCCTCTTTTAACTTGCCCTGTAAAGGGAATTCCCGATTTAGCCAACTTTCGGACTAATATTTTTCTCGCCTATTTCTTTCACAGACTTCTAATAAAAGTCTGTGATTTCTTTACAGGAGAAGTTAAAAGAGGAACAAGGGGAATTTTTGAGATCCCAACTATAGGATACAAATTCCCAGATTTCTTAATTTTCTTGCTTAAGTTTCGCATTAACATCGCGTTTGGCTCTATGGCCGAGAAGGAGGAGGTGTATATTGTGTTTTATATTAAAAGAGCCGATTTAATATTCTTATTATAATATATGTTGTTATATATGTTTATTTTAATTATTATTATTTTATAAAGTTTAAAGTTCAAGTAAATAAACTTATCTTTCAAAGTGTTGAAATTAACTTACTTTTGATATTATTTTCATATAATTCTACTGTCAGACTATATTATACTTAATATTAAAGTAATTACAATAAAATCATCTACTATTACTATTATTTGAAAAAATAAAATTTAAAAAAGTTAAAGTTAAAAATAAAAAAAACAAATTTAATTAAAATTAAGCAAAAAACTTAGTGCTGTAACTTTTAAAATGTTTTCTACATGTAGTATAATAACGCATTCAGCTAACCTTAAAGTAGCCCTTTTGCAAATACAGCGTTAAGTGTTTTGCTTAATTTTAATTAAATTTGTTTCTTTTATTTTTTTTACTTTAATTTTTTAAAACATTATATCTTCCTAAATTTACTTAGCACTTTTTTATTTCACTACATTTTGATGTAAATATTTTAAGCCTTTTTTATGTTATTAGTAAAGATAAAATATATTTTATAAATATAAATTTTAAGAAGAATATTTTTGATACTTTGATTTAAAAAAATAATATTTCTCATGACAATTTTTATAAAGATATACATATAATATAAAAAAAAAATAGTTTTGTAATAATGATTAATTTTTGTAAAGTATAATTTATGAAAATATAATTTTTAAAAAAATAATATTTTTGATGGTAATTTTTGTTTACGAAAGATATACTTATCGTTATTTTTTTACATCTCTGATGCCTAATTTTGGATTTCACATATTTTTGCAAAGTATATATATACATGTATGATAAATTTTTTTCCCCTTCAATCTTTTGCAAAAACGAAGATTTATATCAAAATTCAGTTTTTTAACATTTTTTCCATGATCAAATTCTCAAGTGACTGTACTATTATTACAAATATAAGATAGGGAAAAAGAGAGAGATGGAGATGAGAGAGGGTGAGAGTGGGTGAAAGAGAATGGAAGTGGATGGGATAAAGTGGAAGTAGATAGAAGTATGTGGGAGAGGGTGGGAGTGGGTGGTAGAGGTTAGGAGTGGTTAGGGAGAGGGTGAAAATGGGTCCCCCTCGTGGGTCGCGGCCTTGTCATAGCGAGGGGGCTCACCCTTTGCAAGAGGATAGTCTTGCAAAGGATGCTAACAGCGATCAGGAGGTACACTGGCCCTCCGGTCTTGGAGAGCACCTTCCGGGACTTTACAGGGGGGTCATGTGCCTCCCCTGCGGAGTGCGGGTCTCGCGCACCCGAAGGGCCCGAGCTGGTGTGTGTCTGTATGTCGAGAGTGATGGATCAATGATCCCACAGGCTATGTCAATGAGGACTTAGGTCCCTGGCAGGGTCACTCAAGTCGTCGAGGTTTCCTTCTAGGAAAAAATCTCGAGGAGGGATGGCCGGAGGCGGGGCCGAATCCCAATCCCTTTAGAGGACGGAGGGAGCCTCTACTCTGGGATCGGGGGACTGTGGGTTCGCAGGCCGGGAGGCCTTCGGATCCATTGCACACAGTCCCCAGGGATGGAAAGGGGGGGTGGTGTGGTCCCACCTTCCCTTCATGAGAGGCGGGCGCACAAGAGGCGCGGATGCGAGGGTCTACCGGTTGCATGCGAAAAGCGATCCCGGGAGGCCCTCATTAAACATCAAGAAGACCACCGACGGGTTTAGTGGGTCGGGGGAGGGCCTTCAGTCCTCCTTTCGCCATTGGGCGTTAACTATTCCCACATAATTCGAAGCTTCCCCCGAAGTGGAGGATATGTGTTTAGCACATTTCTGTCGTAAAAAAAAAAAAAAAAAGGGTCACTCAAGTCAAACAGGCTGTGGGTGAGATCCGGTCAACTCCCGACATTGGGTGAATGTGTGTGTGCGTGTGTGTGTGATGGATGGGCCTAGTGGGGTCAAAAGGGCTTCGGCTCGCCACCCTTGGATGGTCGTCAAGTAAAAAAAAAGATCAAAAAGAAAAAATATGGGAAGGCGTAAAATGGTAAACAGTCTTACCGGCACAGTTGTCTCGGATGCTTCAGGGCCCGGCGGAGATAGGGGTATTCCGGCCTCTGCTCCGTCGTCATCTTGCGACGGGTGTGAGGAAGGGGAGGTGGGGTTTGCGGCTTCGATGGAGGTGGAGTCGCAGATTTCAAACATGGAGAGGCCGACAGCAATGCTGCCAGGCCTGGATTGGAAGGAGGACCTTGCTCCATGGTGGGATGAAGCTAGGGCCAAGACTCCCACTGCGGAGCTTTTTCATAATTCCATGGAGGGGTTTCAAACCGTGAGGAAGGAGACCGTTGACTTTGTGAAAGCCATCGGTCTGAATCTGAAGGAGAATCAGCCGAGTTTGGTGATGGAGAGGGTGAAGAAGTTCGCCGGACTCGTGCTGGGTTGGACGCGGGAACACGCGTGGGTTATTTCTGACTTTACACGGAGGGAGTGCGTCCGATATGAGGAAAAGATTGACAGGAGGGTCGACGCGGTCCCTGTGGACGTGGTCCCTGAACGCGGAACGGAGGTCCGTGATCAGGGAACTGAGACGGAGGAGATAGGGGTGCCTGTTGTGGTGGCTCCTTTGCCGGGGGAGCTGAGTGCCAGGCTCGAGGACATAGCCTCGAGACTGGAGATCAACTCGGACCGGTTGGAGTTGCTAGAGAGGCGCCTCATGGAGGTGGAAGCTGGTCGGGCGGGAGTGGCTCGAGAGGTTCTTGAGGAGATGGGGGAGACGGGGACAACGGGGGTTACTGGGGAATGGGTTAGGATGTTGGGAAGGGGGGATAGGAAAAGGAAGGGGAAAGAGGGAGAGGGAAGAGGAGAGAGAGGGGATAGACAGGAGGAAGGAGGCTGCTGGGAGTAGCAGCAAGAGGAGAGTTGGCGACAGTACAACTGTCGCTAATGTTATGGGTGCGGCGAGGTGTTATCGGTGCCTGTATCCTGGCCATACATGGCGCCGGTGCACCTCGATAGTGGACAGGGGCCGCCGCTGCTATCGCTGCGGCTCCCCTGGCCACAAGGCGGTGAGGTGCATGTCCGGCCTGAGGTGTCCGCTCTGTGTGGACTTCCTCCGGCCGGCCAGGCACCGACTTGAGGTACCGGGGTGCCTGTCGGCGCCTCCGGAGGAGAAGGAGGGGGCGCCCGGCCGGGGGCTGCGTAGACTCGCCCCGGCGACATCGCCGGGGGGGTAGTCCTCGGGGCGAACAGGGCGGGCTCTGTCTCAATTAGATGAGGGGAAAGGGGGGAGACGCGCGGGGCTAACGCCTAGCGCCTCTCCCTCAGGAGAGAGGAAGTGAGGGAGTCCCTCTCCTTCGGGAGATGGACTCCCTCGTGGGAGGGTTCCCCGGAGGCTCGGCCGAATTCTAACCCCTCTTTGGGGGCGGAGGGAGTCGGGTCCCTGGGAGACATTTTGAGGGAGGCGCGGGACAAAGGGGAGATGAGCGCTCTCAGGAGTGTCGTACTCCCTTCCCTCCCGCATAGGAAGGCTCTCTTTTCGGAGAGGGTTCCTCGAAGGAGGTCTCGGGTGCTGGTGCTGAATCCTTACCCCTAAGAGAGGGGAGGGAGCGTCAGGACTTGGGACGGAGGAGCTGCAAAGTTCCAAAAGCGGGGGCCTTTAAACTCATTGCACGCGGCTCTCCACGGAGAGGGAGAGGAGTGGCGGTGGTCCCCACTCTTTTCTACCCGATCTGGCCTTTTCAGGGTCAGGTCAAAAGATGAGGCACACCTTGAATTTGTGTGCCGGGCAGTGGGTGCTCTGTGCGCATGCAAAGAGCAATTCCCAGGACACCCACAATAACGCCAGATAGAGGACCGCCGACGGGTTTAGTGGGTCGGGGGAGGGCCTTCAGCCCTCCTTTTGTAATTTAACGTTAACCATCCCCACATAATCCAAAGCTTCCCCCGAAGTGGAGGATATGTGTAAGCACATTCCCGTTGAAAAAAAAAACAAAAAAAAGGGGCTGAAATGTGTGGAAGAAAGTGCAGTGGTTGAGAGAGGGTAGGAGAATGTGTTCCGGTTTATGAGATATTTTAAATTATTGTTTCAAATATTTACGAAGTCCTGTTACCTCTAGTAAAAAATACACAGCAGCGTTCTTTCGTTTTTTCGATATCTCTTGATGTTTTAGCTATATTTTTTTGATAGCTCTCGATGTTTTGGCTATATTTTCGATATCTTTCAATTAAATTTGAAAAAAAGATATTGTTTTAGAGTTTCCTGAAAACGTCCTTGTTTCGATGAAAGATACGCAGTAGCCCAAACAACATTACGTCTAAAAATGGGACATCAAGACGTCTTAAAAATATCTTATTGACGTCTTAAAAATATCTTAAAGACAAATTTTAATATGATGTGAAAATACATCTTAATGGCTCTTTTAAGACGTCTTATGTCCCGATTTTAGACGTTTTGTTGTCTGGGAGCGTTTCTCGACGACAACAAAAGGTGGAACGCTACCGCGTCTCTTAATAAGATACATATTTAAATACATATCTTAAATACTTTAAGATACATATCTGCTTATCCTTATTTTAATTTATTTCTTCTCATTTACCACAATGTCAACCAAGGTGTCGCCAGGGCCATAAAACAATGCGATCGAAACCATGATTTTTGATAGATCGTAGTCTGGAGGTTCTACCGAGTTGTATATTAATAAATTTTTTGCGCAACCGTAATCATATTGGCAAAATTTGCCCGATTGAAATCCTTGAGAATAGTGCGTCACTGTATTAGATGAACCACCGCCAGGTAAGTGAGTCATAATGTCGGACAGCAGAGTCTAAGTGAAAAAGATTACATGCACGTAAAATTTGATTTTAATTACGATTGCATGAGACACATAATCAAAGAACATGACTTTATAATTGTATCTTGATCATTAGACATTCGGGAAATTATTACTCACATAGTTAAATTGTTCCCAGTCGTAACCCCAAGTCATAAACATTAAATGAACACAGATTTCCTTTCCGAGATTCTGAACGCAGAAATATTTCAAAAGAAACTTCACAAATTTGGTTATCAGTAATTTATTAAAAAAAAATCGCATTACTATCTGCAATTGAAAATCTCATAATAGTACATTAGATTTCTAAATAGTAAATTATTTGTCTCTTTGAAATAATATGATAGCTTTGAGAGGTTCTTTTATTTTTATTTTAATTCCTCAAAAAACTTTTTATTAAACTTAAAATCGATGACAAAATAAATAACGATAAAAATTGATTATAACATATTTAGGTTTAAATCTCTTTAGAATCAATTTTTTGACGATTTTCGAAACAAAGCTACGATAAATATATTTATTCGATATCTATATATAAAATGATTAGAAAGTAACGTGTTACTTTCTAAATAGCAGAAAAATAAAAAAATATAAAGGTATTCACAGAACAATTTTAATTCAATTTTTTAGACATTTTTTAAAGAACATATGCGCTGTCTGGATTGTAACATTATTATTGCTGCAGTAATATTTAAAAAAATATACTAATCTATATATAAAATATAAAATTAAGACAATAAATAATTATAATTTTGTTAAAAAAAATAATAAATAATTTTTACATAGTCAACTATTTATTATCAAACAGTATTTAACAGGTATTACCGTATCTGTCAAGAAAGGGAAAAAGTACCGTAGAGGACTTGCCATATGATCTAAAAAGACTGATGGTCCGAAATTGATCATCATTTGCACCAATTGAGCAATTTCTGGACGCTCTGTTGCCATCACGTAAAAACAAGTTGTACCCATCGAATGACCAATATACGTATGCAATGGTTGCGATCTCATATTCGTAATAAACGTAATTATTGCGGGTAAATCATAGATACCCATTTCGTGAAAGCTGATAAGAAATCAATAAAATAATCATAAAATATAATCATAGTGTGTAAATGTGTGTAAAATGTATAAAATATCTTATATGAACAGGCATTAAAATTTTAGCTCAAAAAATTATTTATATCAGTAGTATAGTGGCAGGTATGGCCCGTCAAAACACCACCAGCCCCTCTGGCCTGTCAAAACAAACCCCCACCACCCCCTCTGGACGTGGCTTATCTTTCCCCCATCACCAGCGTCTGGTTTTTCCGAGTGCGGGTGTTGAGGGGAAAAAAATGGCGACTGGCCCCGAAAGGCGAGGGGATGAGAAATTTTTTTATTTTTTCTGATTTTCTCTGGATTTGAACCCGGGATCTTCGCGTTTCCGAGCAGGGTCCTAGTATGCTGAGTTAAACGAGATCTTACTAATCTAAGGATTAGATGAGCCATTTAAGCTAAAGTTGCGTAGAGTACGGTATGTGGGTTCGAGTATACGTTTGGAAAGAATAGCTCGTCGAATCAAATGGCCGATATTGGACGGGGTGGGGTAAAAACAGTTTGACCAAGAAAAGCGTCATACGGTCGAACGGGTATCGGAGGCAGGTAGTGGCTGACGATGCTGTAGGGTAATAAAAAAAAAGAACAGGCAAATACCTGTTCAGGCGAGCATACTGACTCGTGTCGTGGTAAAAAATAATACATCATCATAGATTAGAAAAAATGCTTATTGTTGAAAAGATGACAAATAAAATTTTATTTAAAAATAACGCGCGGCTTAATAAAGGTGAACAGGAACATGCACGTTGAAGAAATTTCTGAAAAGAGAAAGTGAAAGAAAATCGAACAATGGTTAGATTATACGGGGATCAGCTGCCGGTGGCAGGTAGTGGCTGACGATGCCGTAGGGTAATAAAAAAAAAAGAACAGGCAAATATTTGTTTAGGCGAGCATTCTGACTCGTGTCACGGTAAAAAATAATACATCATTATAGATTAGAAAAAATGCTTATTGTTGAAAAAATGGCAAATAAAATTTTATTTAAAAATAACGCGCGGCTTAATAAAGATGAACAGGAACATGCACGTTGAAGAAATTTCTGGAAAGAGGAAGGTAAAGAAAATCGAACAATGGTGTATAAAATTGTAAGGCATATTAGAGAAGCCGTTTCTCGATGTTTTCGGCAAGGTCATCACGTTCAACTTATTTTCGCGACCGCGCGTTCCAAATGGACAAACAAGCGTTTTTGTCTGAATCTCGTTCTTCAATAGATCGATCGCAAGCGAATCACGATAGGGCACGCACGTGTCACGCGTCGATCATATGGTCTATCGGCCGTTGTCGTTACCAATAGACGAATTCGGAGCAGTTTGCCCTGAGAGTCCGTCTTGAAAGCTTAAAAGGAGATTAGAGTGACGGAAATCGCGTATAGTTAAAAAGCGAACGCTTTATTGGACGACTGTTTCTGTTCAGTTTTGTAAAATAAATCATTTCAAAATTCATCTTACAAAACCGTTCACTCTCTCTTCGCAGAATCCTACTGCAGATTTACGTTCTTGGCGCAAAATAAATATTTTCCTTCTGTGCACGAAAATAATTTCGAAGGTTCACGCACAGAATAAATGGTCCTTCGAGCCGGATATATAAGTAACTGTGCAGTAATTTTCCACCGCGAGTGAAACGAAGACGGTACCTCGTTTGGGGTACAGTAAGACTCGAGACACTTTCTCGCGCATCGACAAGGTCGTCCGCGAGTTCGTGTCGTCGGCGACGTTCTCAGTCGCCCGGCATAAATTTGTGAAGTTCTCTGCGGAGACATTCTCTCGCGCATCGACAAGGTCGTCCGCGAGTTCGTGCCGTCGGCGACGTTCTCACTCGCCCGGCATAAATTTGTAAAGTTCTCTGCGGAGACATTCTCTCGCGCATCGACGAGGTCGTCCGCGAGTCCGTGCCGTTGGTGACGTTCTCAGTCGCCCGGCATAAATTTGTGAAGTTCCTTGAGGAGACATTTTCTCGCGCATCGACGAGGTCGTCCGCGAGTTCGTGCCGTCGGCGACGTTCTCAGTCGCCCGGCATAAATTTGTGAAGTTCACGCGCCCGACATATATTGAGTGATCTCAGACTAAAACTGTCACTATCGACTCACCCCTCGTGCTCTTCTGCTTCATTAGTGTTGCTAATTCGCTGATCATGGCTGAGTTACGGAATTTGCTGATCGCGCAAACCGATAAAATCGACCAGCTCAAAAGAGTTATAATAAACTTTAAGAAATTGGCTAAGGCTAACGTAACTTTGCCGAAGACACAAGGTCGATTAGAGAAAGTGCATACGCTTTGGGCATCCTGTCAGGAGCTGCACCTCAAGTTGTTGCAGGCCACTACGAAGGAGGATCAGAAGACGATGTCGTACTTCTTGGATGAGGAATTCCTGGAAGCTGAGGAGATCTACGACGAGACCGTCGACCACCTCCGAGAAACGATAAGTCGATTTACTGACAGTCAACCTGTTACTCTCAATGGTAGTACTGACTCCTCAATTTGCGATAATACTCATGCCAACTTTCATTTGCCATGGATTACGTTACCTAAATTTTCCGGTAAATTTCTCGAGTGGGAAAGTTTTAAAAGTACATTCGAGTCGTTAGTCGCGAATAATGACGTTCTCTCTAATACTGAAAAGTTCCATTATTTAAAAACAAGCATTATCGGCGACGCCGCATTGAAAATTAATAATTTACGAATTTCTGACGCAAATTACGAGTCCGCGTGGCAACTGTTAGTTGACGAGTATGACGATCGGTTAACGTTGATTCAATCGCATTTGCATGAATTTATGAGTCTGCCGATTATGAAAAATAAAAATGTAATAGAGTTAAGCAAGTTGCGCGACACAGTGGCTGCATCGATTGCCGCGTTACATAATCTAGATCGACCGGTGGATCAATGGGATAATATTCTCGTGTACGTTATCTCCCAGAAATTTAGCATTAAAACAAAGAGCGAGTGGAACCTAAAAGTCTCGTCGAGTTACGCGATCCCCTCTTATAAGGACATCCATGAGTTTCTCTTCGTATTCGGGGCTTATCCGACTTTACGGACGTTGCAAAAATTGCCGTAACTTCTAAGAACGACAAGCCGCGATCGTCTGTAAATAACGTTTCCGCTATAAAATGTATTAATTGCTCCGGTAATCATTTTATTTCAAAATGTAAAGCATTTCTCCGTAAATCGACCACGCAACGAAATTCTATTGCGCGTCAAAATAGAATATGCTTTTTCTGTCTGAAACCGGGTCACATGTCGCCGAAATGTACAAGCAAACAGCGATGCTCCCACTGTCGTCGCCTTCATCATTTGTTGTTACATTCCGCGAATTATCAAGCATCGGCCGACGACGACAAGTCGGAATCGAATAAGACGAGCGTACCAGCGATCACAAAAACGAATACATCTTGCGTTTTCGAGAAAGCTGCCGTCGCGAGCGTTCAAACCGTGAAACCGCCAAGCGTTACGACCCCCACCGTTCTTCTCGCAACCGCGTGGGTCGACGTTCATACTGCCGAAGGTAGATGCTTTAAGGTTCGCGCGCTGTTGGATCAAGGATCCAATTTCAGCTTTATTTCAGAAGCATTGTGTCAGACCATACGTGCGAGGCGACAACGAGCCGACCTACAGATAAAGGGATTCAGAGAGAAGTTTACCGGTTCTGCGAAATCACGAGTATCATTGCGGCTGACACCCTACGATAAGTCAGATCCCGCGTTTCCTTTTACCGCGTACTTATTTCAGCGGATTACGTCTTACGCCGCGTCGCGGATTCAGCCTGTCGAGTCGTGGCCTCATTTGAAAGACCTTTCTTTAGCCGATCCGAACCCGTCAAGTAAACATCAGATCCACATGTTGATTGGCGCGGACATTTACGGCTCGCTTTTGATGCGCGATTTGCGACAGGGCCCGCTCGGCACGCCCACTGCCCAGTTAACCGCGCTCGGTTGGATTATTTCCGGTCCCACCAAAAAGAACAACGGGCTTCGACAGAAGCTGCCGTTTTGAACTGTGTCCTCGGTCAAGACGTGGACTCTCTTCTCCAGCAATTCTGGATTGATGAAGAGATCTCGTCGCCTACTCCTCTCACTGACGAGGAGGAGAATTGCGAACGACATTTCGTTCGAACTCATTATCGTCACTCCGACGGTCGATACGTGGTTCGACTGCCGTTTAAGTCAACTCCGCCGATCAAAATTGAGGAGTCTCTGTTCATCGCGCGGTCTCTCTACGGTCGTATGGAGAATAGATTGAAGAATCGTTCAGACCTTGGCTCGCAATACAACGAGTTTCTTGCGGAGTATGAGTCACTCGGACATATGACCCGCGTCGACGAGTTAGAACAAACGGAACATTTACCGGTTTATATCCCGCATCATCCGGTGATTCGGGAAGCGAGTTATACTACTAAGTTACGCGTAGTGTTCAACGCATCGTGTAAAACTCGGAACGGCACGATGTTGAACGATCACTTGTTAATTGGACCTAAGTTACAGCAGGATCTTCCTGCCGTTTTGTCTCGATGGCGAAGATGGAGCCATGTTTATACCGCGGACATAGCAAAAATGTTCCGTCAAATTCGCGTGCATCCCAAAGACATAGATTATCAACGAATTCTTTGGCGTCCGACGGATGACGCGACAATTCAACATTATCGACTCCTCACGGTGACATACGGTCTCGCTCCGGCGCCATATCTCGCCATGTGCGTGCTCAAGCAACTTGCTCTCGACGAGGGCGCTAATTACCCTGCCGCGGTTCCAATCTTAAATGAGTCCATCTACGTGGATGACACTTTGTTTGGAGCGAATGATATTCAGACTTTAACAAATACGCGCGATCAAGTGATAAATCTTATGAAGAGCGGAAGGTTTCAATTAAGAAAATGGGCGTCCAATACGATCGAGCTTCTTAAAGATTTTTCGACAGATAAATCCGAAATCACCGATCATCTCATTCTAAATGACGAGTCACTCAAAGTACTCGGTCTTTCATGGATCCCTGCTGAAGACTCGTTTCGGCTTGTCGTGAATTCGACCATCCCAATCGCTCCTACCAAACGTTCGATTCTCTTTTTCGTTGCTAAACTCTACGACCCTCTCGGTTGGGCCGCTCCTGTCGTAATCGTCGCAAAAATCGTGTTACAGGAGTTGTGGCTATTACATTGCGACTGGGATTCACCTCTCCCCGACGAGGTGAAACAACGATGGAGTGACTTCGTTTCCGAATTTAATAAATTGAAAGAAATTCGTATTCCGCGATGGACAGGTCAGCACCCCGATAATCTCGTGATCGAGGTACACGGATTCGCGGACGCGTCAAACCGAGCCTTCGCTGCCGTCGTCTATCTTCGCGTATTGCATTCTTTAACGGATTATGAGATTATCTTAATTGCTGCCAAGACAAAGGTCGCTCCCGTTAAGACCGTGAGCATACCAAGACTTGAATTAAACGCGATAGTACTTTTGAATCGACTTGTGAAGTGGATCTTAAATTCACTTAATTTAAATGATGCTCCAATCTATTGTTGGACGGACTCCACGATCGCGCTGGCCTGGCTACGCCAACACCCATCTAAGTGGACCACGTACGTGGCGAATAGAGTGGCCGAGGTGCAAAACAATTTGCCGTCGGCTAGATGGAAGCACGTGCCGTCGAAGGACAATCCCGCAGATTGTGCTTCTCGCGGCCTACTAGCATCCGAATTGCTGACTCATCCACTGTGGTGGACCGGACCCCCCTGGCTAAAGAGGCCTTTAACATCATGGCCGGCCCATGACGTCGCGATTCCGCTCTTTTCTGATGCTATTCAGAAGATTTCAAGTGAAGTTAAGAAATCCCCTGTTCTTCATATTGAAGGCTCGGAAGAGTGGGATTTAATGTATAAATTTTCTAGCTGGACTAAGCTAGTCCGTGTGACCGCTTACGTCCACCGCTTTCTCTCTTTGCTCGTTAAAAAAGGGAAAGATAAAATTAGCACCGCGTCGTCACTAAGTGTCGACGAGCTCAATCAAGCTGAGTTGTTTTGGCTTTCTTATGCTCAAGCTAGATCATTCGGTTGTGAAATCGCATCCTTGAAGAAGAATCTAACTGTCACGAGAAAGAGTTCTCTGAGAACTCTGAATCCATTTCTCGGGGAGGATTCTTTACTCCGTCTCGGCGGGCGGTTAAAAAATGCCGCTCTCACGTTCGAAGAGCAGCACCCCATTATCGTACCACAAGGTCAAATCGCTTCTCTTCTGGTGGCTTATGCTCATAGAGCACGTTTCATGGCGGAGTGCAACTCGTGCTGCGCACCCTCCGTCAGAGATATTGGATACTGTGCAGCCGAAACGCAGTAAAGAGTCATGTTCGTCAGTGCGTCGTGTGCACTCGTCATTCAGCGAGGCTATCGAGTCAGCTCATGGGAGACCTCCCTTCTCCTCGCGTTAATTCATCTTCCCCGTTCACGCACACGGGAGTGGATTACGCTGGGCCTTTCCTCATTACTCTTTTCGTTGGAAGAGGACAGAGAGCGAGACAAAATTGGATCGCGTTGTTCATTTGTCTTGTCACGAAAGCCATCCACTTGGAGCTAGTTGACGACTACTCCAGTGCAGGATTCATTTCCGTCTTTCGGAGATTCGCCGGGCGTAGAGGCCTACCCAAGAAACTTTACAGCGACAACGGGACGAACTTCCACGGCGCTGACCGAGAGTTGCAGAACGCGTTCAAAGCTCTGACAAAAGATACGTCTTTACAAGACGACCTCGCGAATGACAGAATAGACTGGCATTTCATACCGTCCGCGGCTCCTCATTTCGGCGGATTATGGGAGGCGGGCGTGAAAAGCTTAAAATCGCATCTCAAAAGAGTAGCCGGTTCGCGTACTTTGTCGCAGGCTGAATTCGCGACGCTTCTATGCCAGATAGAGGCATGTCTCAACTCGCGTCCGATCGCTGCCCTCAGCGACGACCCGAACGATTTGTCTGCGCTAACGCCGGGCCATTTCTTAATAGGTCGACCTATGGTAGCCGTACCTGAGGAGTCAGTACTCACGATAAACCCGAACCGACTCTCACGATGGCAACTCATTAATTCAATGAAGGAGCAAATTTGGCGTGCTTGGTCGCTGGATTACTTGCACACTTTGCAGCAGTGCAGCAAGTGGACGGATAAGTCCCCCTGTTATCGCGTAGGAGAGCTCGCGCTTCTCAAGAATCCACTGCTCCCTCCGAGCAAGTGGGAACTCGCTCGAATTACTTAAATCCATCCGGGATCCGATGGACTTGTTAGAGTAGTCACGGTGCAAACTGCACGTTCTGCCTTAAAGCGACCAATCACGTCACTCTGCCGACTGCCTTAATTGCAATACTGTATAAAGGCTGTTGATCGGGCTATAATTGTTTGCGCTCGACATTTCAAGGCAGTCAATATGTTTACATTTTTCTTATTGTTAAGAATCTTTATATGATTTCGAACATGTTTGTCCTCGATGAATAGAATTACAAGAAACGAATGTATCCCTACTGAAAGCATCCTTCTCCTTATTGTTAAGAATTCAATTATTGAAGTATCTATCTAAGACGTCAAGGTGAAGATGTTCTCGCGCTCTAAGTATTTGTTGTTATTATGGTTAAGACTTCCAATTGCCTAGGACTTATTCTCATAAGATCGACCTGTATAAACATTTCGTATCCGTTCGCATGCGAGGCGGGCGGTCTGTATAAAATTGTAAGGCATATTAGAGAAGCCGTTTCTCGATGTTTTCGGCAAGGTCATCACGTTCGACTTATTTTTGCGACCGCGCGTTCCAGATGGACAAACAAGCGTTTTTGTCTGAATCTCGTTCTTCAATAGATCGATCGCAAGCGAATCACGATAGGGCACGCACGTGTCACGCGTCGATCATATGATCTATCGGCCGTTGTCGTTATCGATGGACGAATTCGGAGCAGTCTGCCCTGAGAGTCCGTCTTGAAAGCTTAAAAGGAGATTAGAGTGACGGAAATCGCGTATAGTTAAAAAGCGAACGCGTTATTGGACGACTGTTTCTGTTCAGTTTTGTAAAATAAATCATTTCAAAATTCATCTTACGAAACCGTTCACTCTCTCTTTGCAGAATCCTACTGCAGATTTACGTTCTTGGCGCAAAATAAATATTTTCCTTCTGTGCACGAAAATAATTTCGAAGGTTCACGCACAAATAATTTTAAATTTACAAATATGGTTTATATTTAAAATATTTTTACAGAACAAAATTATTCACAAACATTTCAAGAAAATATTCGTCGAATAATTATTAAAATTTACGTTTTGTTATGATTGCATGTACAATTTGTTCGAAATAAAGTAAAATTATTTCTAAAAATGTTATCTCAAAGTATACATCGAGAAATGTTAAATCTTTCAGCTGGGTTCGTACATTACGTTCTATTTCCTTACTGTTGATCGTAAGTTTCACGATACTGCTATTGATGCTACCGCTGACAGGAAGATTTAACTGTATTTCGTTAATTAAATATCGAGCACATTCGTTGACATTAATTGAAATAAAATTTAGGCGATTTAAATTAGCGTTCATACAATCAACTATATTTTCTACACCTTGAAAAGTCGATCTCTGCATGACTATCGCAAAGTTGTAAGTTTTACGTTTCTTCGCCTTCGGTCCGTTTGGGTTCTCATCCTCCGCAATTTCGGAAGAAAGATCTTTTTGCTCGTTTTCACGATACGCTATTAGTATGGCTCTAGCATCATATGCGGTAGTGAAATTTATAATTATCTTGTTAAAGATAATTGAGCTCAAATTAATTTTATTACCGTTTAAGTAAGTCGACATCGTTTCCATGTTTTCTTGAAATTTTTGCCACGATTCCATGTCGAAGCAAATCCTTGCAGCTCCGTGAAATGTTAATTTAACAGCAGGCAGAAAATCCAGTTCGACGTTGTTTTCCGTCATAAAACTCACTTAAATTTTCTTCGTGTAGGATGAATTCAATTCGTATGTTGTTGACAACAACATGCGCGGTTGTTGCTCGATTTTCTTAAGGTTGTTCATGGTAGTTGCTACCGCGTAGAAAGTTAAAGATTTAATAATCAAAGACGCGGTAAAATCGAAAAATCGAGAACTTTTTACTAACGAACTTTTTTACTAACTATCTTTTTACTAACGAACTTGAAAGTCCGGACGATGAAAGACGAGTGAGCGAAGATTTTCAAGAAAATTTATAAGAAGATAAAATAGAAAAGTGGTAGGAAGAAAATGCATGCGCAGATAAATAAAAATTATGAGGAAGGGGATTTTTTAAACAATATAAATGATATAATTTTTAATGTGGGAGAGGAATTTTTTAAACAATATAAACGATATAATTTTTAATGTGGAAGGGGAATTTTTTAAACAATATAAATGATATAATTTTTAAATCTGACTACAGAGAAAATATAAAATTCCTATCGCCATCGAGAAAAGATACCTGAAAATTCCTCATCTTGATTTCCATAAACTTTTTGTAGCTAAGTAAATATCGCCCTAGATTAAATATTTTCTGTATATATCTAAGTAAATATTACCATATATATATATATATATATATATATATATATAAAACATGGGTAAGAATACACGGCTATGAGAAAAAAAATAAAAAAGATAAAATAAAATCGAGAAAAGTTACCTGAAAATTTCCCATCTTGATTTCCATAAAAACGTATAAATACGGCTTTCGGAGTTAAGTTAGCTAGTTACATTTTTGAATTTCGTCTCTCGCGTACTCACGTATTCGACGCAAGCATACTATTAAATTTCAAATAATGATTTGAAAAAAGTAATTGAAATTTGTTTATCACTAGGGCAGAGTTTATGCGAGAAAAATTTTTCCAAGCATATATATAAATTAGCATGCGCGAGTGAAGACAAATGCTTCCATATTTTTTGAAAATTCGCGGGGGAATGTCCCAGCGCTGTGCTAGCGGTATTATTCCGACTAGGACATTTTAGTGTCTTTCGCGAATTAGTGATTATCGCGAGTGAGGTGATCGAGTCGCGATACTATTTTGGTGGTGAGAAGGAAAATGACGCAGCAGGCCACATAGAATATCTCCTCCTACATTTTCATCGAGTTCTGCGAGGAGAAGATAATAATGGTAAGTTTTTATTTTTATTACACTTAATTATAAATAAAAATTAATTAAAACTACCCCAATTATTTATTTATTTAAATTGCTAAAACTTTAGCTATCGTACTTTCTGTCGCACGCGTTACAGGAAACCGGTTGCGTGTACTGGAAAATCGCCCCGTATCACTTAGATTAAGGTTAAATAGAAGACGACGAGCGGATTCTTCGCCGGATCCCGGACCTTCGCGTAAGTTTTTAACATCATAAATTATATCGCACTGCTAGAAAACATTATATTAAACAAGAAATTTTTTAATAAAAATGTTATACGTTCCAGGCCATGCACGCATCGTGTTAACGCCGGAGCTGGAGCACCCGGTTATTGATTTAGCCGAAAGTGATAACGACGTGGAAGAAGTGCGGGTTCGCGAAGATAGTCCGTTCGATGAAGCGGCCATATTTACTCCGCTTGAAAGTAAGTAAGAAAAATACTACAGTGGTATATATCAACACAAAAGATTTTTTAATTATGTAAAATACTAATAATATATGACTGATGAATATTAGATGACGCGGCAAATGAAAACATGGTCGTAGAGGAGCGAGAACAGGAGGAGGAAATCGACGAGGAAATAAACACGATTTTTGGAAGATGAAGAGGAGCTGGAGGAGGAAGTGGAAGAGGAGGAGGAAGAGGAAGAGGAAGATGAAGAGTTGGAAAAAAAAGAAATAGAGCAAACGGAAGATGAAGAAGAAGAAGAGACGGAAGATCGAGAAGAACAAATGGGAGATGAAGAAGAAGAAGTGGGAGATGAAAATAACGCCACGTTTTCTGAAGAAGAAGAAGAAAATAGCGGGGCGATGGCTGAGGAAGGTAATAATTGCATATTTTATACTTAATCTTCTCCTACGTTTAAATTTTTTGTTTATTTTAATTAAAATAAAATTTTATTAGGAATTTCTTTCTCTCCTAACATCGCGCCCGAAATTTCATATTCACCGGAGTATTAACCCACGCAGGGTGATACAAATGCCCCGATGAAAGAATATTAAAACGTAAGTGAACTTAACATAATTATTAATAACAACAATTTCACATTATTAATAAAAATTCAAACGTAAGAGAGTAATATTTTATTAAATATTTTATTTCGTTAATATAATTTTTTATTTCTCACAGTACAGAGTGGCGGGGGAAAGAACGTCGAAATATACCAAGAAGATTCTCAAACCCGCTCCGGTGAGGAAACTTCCGACGATGTCGAAGAGCGACATTTAGCGGCTGCTGGTGGGCAAAAAGAAGAAGAAGAAGAAGAAGAAGAAGCGATGGAAGAAATAGCAAATCAAGAGCCTGATGGTAATTTTAGATATTTAATAATGTTAGCGGAAAACGTGCGTCGGTTTAGAATTTTTGGTGTAGAAGAACGGGAAATTAAATTTTGTATTCGGCCGATACCCGAAGGAGCAAACGCGTATGAGTGGTTAGAAAATGCGTTTCGCGAACTTCACGAGTACGCGTTGCATTCGTGCGAACCGAAGGATTACGTCGCTATGTCTTTCGATTCCGCAAGTTTAACCTGCGGCCCCGCAGGTATATTGTTCCGACCTTTGCGAGATTTGACTTACGAAAATATTTGGGAACTCGTAAGCTCGTTAGCGCAAAGCTGCGGAGGACACGATATAGCGCAAGAATTTAACATTCGGATTTTTAAAGTCACCCCTCCCATTGGTCGCGGACGTAACGGGCTTACACTCGATTGCTAAACGCTCGATTTTAACAATTTCCAGTACCAATAATTTATGTCTTCCTTGCGCGCTTGTATCGGCTCTAATTTTTAACGAGCGTGGAAATTTACGCACGGGAGAGTTACACGCGAAATGGAATGCGTTGAGAAGACAAAACTCGGTGTTACAGCGCGAGTTAGCATTGCAACTTACGAGGAATGCCGGTGTCACGATTCCGGAGGAAGGGAGTGGAATTGTTGAAATCAAGCGTTTTCAGCAATATCTCGCGAGCAAAAATGTCGCGATAATAATATATAACGACGATACTTTTGGTCGAGACGGTAATCCGCTATTCAATGGAAACGTATTTCTAACCACTCTGCAGCGGGAAATAAAAACTTGTCTAAATCTATTATACCG